TACAGGGGCACAGGGCACTGGGGACACCCGGTCTGCCCGAGTGGCTTCCCCTTCCCCTGGCCTGCAGACAGGCTGGGGGGCAGAGCTGGGGAGGCTGCGGGGACGGGCAGAGGGTCCTTACAGCTGTCGGTGTCGTTGGCCACGGCGATGATGCCCATGGGCTGCTGGGGGATGTCCACGCGCAGCAGCTTCATGTCGGTGCCCACGTACTTGTTGGCGCGTTGCACGGCCCGGCGCACCCAGTCCGTCCAGAAGATGTAATCGCCGTACACGGCCAGGCCAAAGGGGTGCACGGGCTCCGACTTCAGGATCACCTGCCAGGCACAGAACGGTGGAGTGGGCTGGGTTGGAAGGGACACTGAAGATCACCCAGTTCCCAACCCCCTGCTATGGGCAGCGACACCTCCCACTAGACCAGGTGGCTCCAAGTCCCGTCCAACCTGGCCGTGAGCACTTCCCAGACTCCACCACCTCCCTGGGCAGCCTGTTCCAACATTTAACAACCCCTTCCACAAAGAAATTCCTTCTGATGGTCAACCTGAACCTCCCCTGGTGCAGCTTGAGGCTATGTCCTCACTTCCCAGGGACACAGGTGAGCCGTGAGCAGGAGGAACCCGCTGTGAGACACAGCCCCACAGCCCCCCAAACACAGAGTGTCCTCCCCTGGGGGATGTCTGATCTCCCCCAGCCCCGGGGATAGCTCTGCCTCCCTCTGACCACGCTCCAGCCCCAGTTTGGACACTCTCCTCCCCGTCAGGACTCACGTGCCGGTTGGAGCCGTCGTACTCGCAGCGCTCGATCTTGTCCAGCGTGGCATCAGAGAAGTAAATCTTCTCGGCCTTGTGGTCGATGGCCAGCCCGTTGGGCGTCCGTATGTCCTGGTCGATGATGATGAGCATGTTGGCACCAGAGAGGGTGGCTCGCATGATGCTGGGGTGCTGCTCGTTCCAGTTGGTCCAGAACATGAGGCTGGAAGGGGAGAGACACCCTCTGCAGCCCCAGCTCAGCCCACCCCTCCACAGCTGGGGGGCTCCCGGGGACTCAGGGATGGATGGGACATCACTCCCACACAAAAGGGAGTGGGAGGGGGATGGAAGAGGCTGCTGCAGCCAGCTGGGAGATGTGGATGGGGGTGGGACAGGGGGCCTGTTGTTCCTTCGGGGTGCTGAAGGATTCGTGGTGAGGGGGGCACGCGGCCCTTCCTCCCTGGGGTCCAGCCCTCTCTGTGCTGGGATCCAGAGCTTCCACCCCAGGAAGGGGACCACGTGGACCCCTGGGGGGGGCTGGCTGGACCCTCAACAGCCACTCACTTCTGGCACTCGTCCAGCACGAAGGCGCGGGGGTGATCGTCCCCCGACATGGTGATCACCGTCTCCCTCTCGAAGGCCCCGACGCGACTCTGGTCCACGGTGTGCCGGGTGATGGTGGACGTGGTGTAGCTCGTCCAGTACAGCGTGTCCCAGCCACGGTGATACGCCAGCCCCTCCACCGAGCCC